GGGGTGAAGCTGCAAAGTTTTCAGCTGTCTGCACTGCTGGTGCAGGAGCTGTGAATTCTGGGTCCCTGTGTGGTTCACTGTGGAAGTCATTTCTTTATTTTCATTTCTGAGATTTAAAAAATTTTTTTTTCAATTTTTGGAGAGATATTATATACAAAACATTTATTTATTAAAAAATATGTATTAATTGATTTTTTTTTTGTGATAGAGTCGCAATATGTAGTCCAGGCTGGCCTTGAACCCATGGCAATCCTCCTGCCTCAGCCTCTCCCGTGCTGGTGTGGCAGACGTGCACCACCCAGTTTTTTTTTTTTTTTTTTTTTTTTTTTTTAAAGCGTTCAATTGCCTTTTCCTGCACCCCACAGTAAGGCAGAGATCCCCTTCCTATTCTAGGCTTCGCTCCCGCCAGGGACGTCGGAACCGCCGATATGCGTTTGCCTCTGTGTCCAGGTGGGGGAAGCAGAGAGCCCACAATGGAACCCGCGGAGCCGGCGTGCGAGGGTGGGGTGGATTAACCCCCGAGATGGGCATCAGCTCCGCGGGCGTCCCCCACCTGTGATCTGGGTCCTCCGGGAGGGGAGACAGGAGGATGGCAAGTTCGGGAGGATGGCAAGTTCTGGGTGGTTAGGGAAACCTTGTCTCAAAATAAATAAAACATAAAAAGGCCGGGATTTGGCTCCGACGTAGAGCACTCCTCGGTTCGGTCCCCAGTCTTGGGGATTGGAGGGGGTCTGTATCCAATTCACACGCAGTCTGTTTTTTGCCACAGTCGCCTTCCACATTTAATCTTCGTGATCGGAGCCAGCGTCTTCTGTACAGCTTCCTAGAGGTTTTCCCCTGTGGTAAGTCCGTCAGCACATGCACATGCACAGGCACACAAGCACACACCCGCACACCCGTATTTTCCTGTTTCTGTTTGCTCTCTCGAGACAGCATCTCGCTATGCAGCGCAGGGTAGCCTTCAACTCGCAGCGATCCTCCTGCCTCAGCCTCATTCCTGAGTGCTGGGATGCCAGCGCGGAGTTATTGGGGTTTCCCTCAAGTCCACTTTATTTCAAGTGTAGAAAGAAAGAAGGAAAGAAAGAAGAGGAGGAAGAGAAGGAAAAACTACAAAAAAAAATCAAAATACGTCAACTGGGGCAACAATGGTGCATACACTGCACACTGTCACCCCCAAATCATTCACCCAGAGCACAGGAAGCTGCATGCAATCCTCCGGACAATCACAAATCTTTCTCTTCAGTGAACTGGGGGAAATCAGTAGTACAACTAACTTAGCTTTTTTTTTTTTTTTTGTCTTTTTCCTTTTTATTGGTACCGGGGATCGAACTCACGACTGCCTGCTTTACAAGGCAGGCGCTTATGCCGCTGAGCTAAATCCCCAGCCCCCACTTGGCTGTTTTTTAATACGCATATACATGCACATATACATGTTTTTCTCTCCGCTTCTCACACTAATGAAACAATACAACATTTACACACGTGTGTCTTATTTCACCAGTGAGTGTGGTCTCAAGCTGCATCCATTTACCTGTAAAACGTGCCCTTCTTTGCGGCTGAGTAGTGCTCCATCCTTCAAGCAGCGGGCATTTAGGGTGTTCCCAAGGTCGGCCCTTACAAGTGGATGCACGGAGTTGCCAGACCTAGCAGCTCCTCCTTTCCTTTCTCTCCCCGCGTACACCTCTGCTACCCCTCCCCCACCCCGTTTTAGAATTAAATTGGGGTTTGCGCCCCACACGGGGACGCTCTGCTCAAGGGTGAGCAGGCCTGGCCCTAGCTGGGACTCACCGCGGAGGGAAGTGCAGGGGACGCGGGCGCGGGTCCCTCGCTGCCCAGAGTGCTGGATGCGGAGGCCTGGACGGGCGTGCGGTACCTGCGGGCGCAGCACTGGGGAGGCTGAGACCGGAGGGTTTCTCGTGGCCGCCTCCTATGGCCCGGCACAGGGAAGGCGGGGTGCAAAGGACGCGGGCGGGAGGTGGGGACCCAGGCTGCCACAGCAGACCGCGCCCGCTTCCGTTCTGCCGTCCTTCGTGGTCGTTTTGTTTTGCCCAGGTTGGGGGTGGGGCACAAGTCCCCGGAGCCCCAGCCTGGGCTCTGGCTGCTTCGTTCTCCTACTAGTGGGGACTGAACTTGGACCCTTCGCACTGAGCCCCGCCCCAGCCCCGTTCAGTTCTTATTTCGGGGAGTGGGGGGTCTCATTGAGTTGCTGAATTGCGCAGGCTGGGCTCCAACTTGCAAAGGATCTCCCTCAACTTCTCCAGGGCTGGGACTGCAGGCGTGCACCATCAGGCTTACCTTGGAACCCCTTCCCCAGTGGCTATATTTTGGGTTTCTTTGCTTTGCTTTGAGACAGTCTTGCTATGTATGTCAGGTTGGCCTTGAACTCATCAGGTAGCCTAGGCCTGGAGCTCACTGTGATCCTCCTGCCTCAGCCTTCTGAATGCTGGTATCTCAGGTGTGCACATCACACCTGGCAAGAATTTGAGTTTCTCATGTAAAAAAAAAAAAAAACATGCGATATTTAGGCTGATGTGTCCGATTTATGTCTCAACGTTATGGTTTTAAGGCGCATCCATTTTTCCAAAGTGACTCAAATTTATCCTTTATGGCAGCATGGTTCTCCATGGTATGAAAATATCCCGTTTTTAATCTCTTCATCGCTTGAGGGGCATGTTGGCTGCTTCTAAGACTTAGCTGTTATAAACCTGGTTTTGCATGGGTCACTGTAACATGAAGTCTTTAATCATTTTGGGAAGATACCTAGAAGGGGAATAGCTGGGTCCAGTGGAATTTCTGTTTTCAGCTCACTGTGGAAGCTAGAGCAGTTGTGCCAGTATGCACTCCCACCAACAGTGAAGGCTTCCTTTTTCCCCACAGCCTCTCTAGCATTTGTTATTCTTTGATATTTTTGTTTTTGTTTTGAGACATGATCTCACTCTGTAGCCCGGGCTAGCCTCTAAATCGTGGGGATCCTCCTGCCTCAGCCTCCTGAGTTCTGGGATTACAGGTGTGCAGCACCACGCTTGGCTCTCTGACCCACTGATTATTCTAGAAGATCTTGTTTAGTTCCATGTGTCTGCACAGTTTCTGTGGTTTCCTTTGCCATCCATTTCTAGTTTTTTTGCACTACAGTCTGATGATGCGCATGGGATATGGGTTTTCCTTTGACACCTACATTAGCCTGTTTTTGGGCCAGTGTGGAAAGTCCCGTGTGCTGCTGAGAAGAGTGTGCGTGCGCTCTTGGTGGGGGCTGGACACTGCAGGTCAGTGGTGGCCTGTGCCGTGTTGGGGACTCATTGTCTGCACTTGAGCCAGATGTACGAGTTGTTTAAACTAAAACCTCAAGGTTCAGGGTTAATAGCAGTACTCACACTTTTCCATAAATAAGTGGGTGCTGCTTGCACTTGGGACACTCTGTCTCTAGAAGTTTTACCCTCCGTGCTGGAGAGACTCCTTATGACAATGGCTCTAAGGTTGGTTAAACTCTGACACTTCCAGGAGATTCCCTGTCTAGTTGATCTATCGTTGACACCGGGGTGCTTAACCACTGAGCTAAATCCCCAGCCTCAGCCTTTGGTTCTTATACTGGGGCGCTGTGGTTCCCAGTTACAAGTGCGTTGGAGGTGATCAGATCTTTTTATCAGAGTTTGTTTTATGAAGCTGGGCGCACTGGTGCGTGGTGCCTATGTTATTTATAATCGTTATCTCTTCACGTTGAATTGTTCCCTAAACCAGCATGTGTGACCATTGTCCCAGCTGGTCAGTTTTGGCTTGAAATTGACTTTCTCTGTATTTCTCAGGATAGCTAATCCTGCATTTTTTTTTCCCCCTTCTGGGTTCTGGTTGTATAGGATATTGTTTTCCAGTCTTTGGTTTTTCATCTCTGAATTTCTTTCTGAATACATGTGTTTCTGCCATACTGCATAGCATTGGATTTTGTTTATTTTTCTTTTTGAGATAGGGTCTCTCTGTGCAGTTCAGGCTGGCCTTAAACTCACTTTGTAGCCCAGGCTGGCATCCAACTTGTAGCAATCCTCCTGCCTCAGCATCCTGATTGTAGGATTGGAGGCCTGTACCACCATGCCTCGTTTGGATTTTGTTTTCTGATCTGTTCTTTCAGAATATGTTAGAGTTAGGGTTAGGGTCAGGGTCCTTCCATGTTGGGAGCTATTACTGACAAGTCCTGACTTATTCTTCTCATTGCATTCTTTTCCTGTTGCTGATTGTATTTTTTCCCCTTCTGCTTCACTGTCCGCCCTTCTAGGTGTGATCATTCTAACTCATTGACACTGTTTGCTACCTTGCCCTTTTGTAGGATGTCCTTGAGGATTTTTTGGTAATGCTGATTTGATGGCCATTTTCTAGATTGTCACTGAAATATCTTATTTCTCCATTCAGTTACTATTATTATTATTTTTGAGATAGGGTCTCATTAGGTAGTTCAGGCTGGCCTTGAACTCACTTGGTAGCCAAGAGTGACCTTGAATTTGAGGTGATCCTCCTGCCTTAGCCTCCAGAATGCTGGAATGACATTTGTACACACCACGTTCAGACTCTGCCTTTGGTTTTTCTTTCTTTTTTGTTTTTTGGTATCTCAATCAAACTCATGACTTTACACTTAGCAGGCCAGCACTTGAACTGCTGAGCTAAATCCCCAGCCCCTGCCTTTGATTCTTATGCTGTGAGACACACAGCTGTTCCATGAACAGGAATCAATCAACCTGTAGTTGAGGAGACCCCTCAGTGCAGGGTCACAGGAATGCTGCAGCCACCGTACTTCAGCCCAGCTCAGAAAGACGCATCTGTGATGGGTCATGGGGGGCGGGCAGAGGCCACCATGGTGATGTACCCCCAGATCACAGCATGGCTGTGATCACAGGGAGGCTGAGGCAGGAGGCTATGAGCTCAAAACCAATATGGGCAGTTAGCTACTCGGTGAGGCCCTGTCTCCAAAGGCCAGCTCAACGGAGTCATAGTCTCAGCGATGCCTGCCTGCATCCATGGGCAGTAGCGCTGATCGAGCAGCCCCGCCCAGCACGCCCTGCCCCAGGCCTTCCCAGGAGCTATTAAAGCTGCGGTCTGCAGCAGCCCAGAGTCCACCGCTGGCTCCAGTGCAGCTCATCGGATCCCACTTTCGGCGCCTCGGGGCCCTGCTGTGCTCCGAGCTCCTGCTTCAGGGATCTGTAAGTTTTGACAACACCCTCTCCTGCCAGGACGGGCTTGGATGTCCTGGGGGAACCTCCACCACCTGCCATCAAGTGTCTTGTCGCAGTTGGCCTAGAGCCTTGGAGGTCCTCCCCAGAGAGGGTGGGGGTGGGTCTTTGATGTTTTAGAGACCGGTTTTGTTTTGTTTTGATTTTTGTTTTGGGTGTTTTGAGTCTTGCTATGCAGTTCAGGCTGGTCTTGAACTCACTTCTGTGGCCCAGGCTGGGCCTCAAACTCACCGTAATACTCCTGCTTCGGCCTCCCAAGTGCTGAGATTATAGGGGAGCGCCACCACCCTCAACTCGTTTTTTTTTCCATACCAGGAATTGATCTCAGGGCCTTGCATTTGCCAGGCAGGCGCTGTACCGCTGAGCTAAATCCCAGGCCCTGTTTTGTTTTTCGAGACATGAGGTCTCATTACACAGTGGAGGCTGGTCTTGAACTCACTCTGTAGCCCAAGCTGGTCTTAAACTTGCAATGGCCCTCCTGCCTCAGCCTCCAGAAAGCTGGCACAACAGGCATGGCTTCATATTTAGGGTTTTGTTGGCAGCGCATGGCTCTTACCCCCTTTCCCGAAAGAGAGCACAGGCCCTAAAATCCTCCTTGGGGAGGGCTGTGGGCGGGGCATTGCAGTTTCCCTCCGAAATTCTTTGTTGGGTAAGGGTTGGGGGTGTGTGTGAAAGAATGCAGACCAGGGAGCCAGGCAGTATCCAGATGGACAGGCCCAACGGGTCTCCTTCTTGGTCGTGGCCTCAGGCCCATCCCCCATGTCCAGTTTTCCTGCCGGACGCCATATGTCTGCACTTTTGTCCTCTGCACTGAAGTCTCTAGGGTAGCCCTGGGGACACTGGGACTGAGAAGGTAAACGCGGCCACTCTGCCACACCTGCCCCGCATTGCCTCGATCGGCTGCGGCTTGGTGTCCTTCCAAATATCCTTCAGGCAAAGACCCCTTAGCCAGCACTTTGGGCGCGGTGGGGGGGGGGGCACCGAGGCAGGAGGACAGCAAGTTAGGTCTCCCTGTGTGGTTCAAGCTGGCCTTGAACTCAGTATGTAGACCAGGCAGGCCTTGAACTCTCGGCTCTCCTCCTGCTACAGCCTCCGAGTGCTGGGGTTACAGGCGTGCTCCAGAAGGATCAGTTTGAAAAACCAATTTTTAAAAAGAGTATTTAAAACCAGGCATCCCTGCAATTTCAGCACTACAGAGGCTGAGGCGGGAGGATCGTTAGCAGCCTTGGCTACAGCCTGAGCTCCAGGCCAGCCTGAACTGCATGGCGAGACCGTCTCAAAAAGAAAGACACAAAAGGGTTAAAGTTGTACTTTGGCTCAGAATCCCAGAGGCTCTGAGAGGTGACTCTACTGATCTGTCTTTGCCATCTTCCCCTAGGGCGCAGGACGTGTTGTGTCCTCTGCACTCTGCAGGCCCAGGCAGGCCTCTGACTTCACACCTCTGGGATGCAGCCACAGGGCCTTTGCGACCTGGGCTGCCGGCTACTGCGCCGGCGCCCACTGGTGGAGGGTCCAGGCATCCACCTGCCGCGCTGTCTGACAACGCTGGACCTGGTGTCACTGGGCGTGGGCGGCACACTGGGGGCAGGCGCGTACGTGCTGGCCGGTGATGTGGTGAGGGACCAGGCCGGCCCGGGCATCGTGTTCAGCTTCCTGGTGGCCACACTTCCCTGCCTGCTGTCCGGGCTCTGCTATGCCGAGCTGGGCGCCCACGTGCCCTACTCCGGGTCTGCCTATGTCTCCAGCTATGTCACCGTGGGGCAGCTGCTGGCCTTCGTCACCGGCTGGAACCTCATCCTGTCCTACGTCCTCGGTGAGGCGGGCTGGAGTGGGGGAGGCAGGGCCCACGGGGTGGGAGGGTACAGCTCAGACTGGTGGAGATCCTCCTGCCTCAGCCTGCTGCATGCTGGGGTTACAAGCCTGAGCTGCCAACCTGGTGCAGGAGCCTCGGGGAGCGAGTGTGGGGGATCAGCACCCCCAGATGTCCTCCCATGGGGCTCCTTCCTGCTGCCCGAGTGACCCAGCCTACAAGGAATGCGGACTGCAGGGGGCAGTCTTTTTCTCCAGACCTGGGGGTGGAGTCCCAGGTTCGCAGTGAGCTCCATCCCCAACCCCTTTTTAAGTTTCCCAGACAGAGTCTCAATAAGTCCCTGAGAGGTCCAGGCTGGAGACCCTTCTGCCTCGGCCTCCGGAGTGCTGGGATTATGGGCAGGCAGCACCATGCCTGGCGTTTTTCACTGTCGGGGGCTAGGATTTCCCACTCGGTGGATGCGCCCCCCGGCGGCTGCTGTATGTCAGTGCCTCTCCGTCTGTCTGTATTGACTGCTGCTTCCTTCCCACCGCAGGTGCAGCCAGCGTGGCCCGGGCCTGGAGTGCGGCCTTTGACGGCCTGATCAGCGGGTACGCAGAGCAGGGGCTGGGCACCCGCATCTCCCTGCACGCCCCACAGGTGCTGGCCGCGCATGCCGACTTCGTGGCGCTGGGAGTGGTGCTACTCCTCACGGGTGAGTTTCGTGGCCTTCCGCCTGGCCTCCTGAGGGCCGGAGCGCCCTTCGCTCTGTACTTTTCCCGTTTCCTCCTGCAGTGCTCCTGGCGGCTGGAATGCGCGAGTCGGTGCTGCTCACCCGGCTGTTTGCGGGGGTGAACCTCCTGGTACTGGCCTTCGTCACCGTCGCCGGCTTTATCAAGGGAAATCTGCGCAACTGGGAGCTCATGGCGCACGACTACTTGCTGGCTGAGTCCCGCCTCAACGGCACGCACAGGTGGCTGCTGGGTCCAGGGCTGGGCAGTGGGATGGAGCCGCGCAGGGCAGGCAGCATCACTGTGTCTTCCTCCCTCACAGTCTGGGCGCCTTTGGTGAAGGAGGCTTCTTCCCCTTTGGCATGGCTGGGGTCCTCCGCGGGGCGGCCACGTGTTTCTTCGCCTTCATTGGTTTCGATGTCATCTCCACGGCGGGTAGCACGGCCCCTCGAGGCCTTCGTTTTTGTTTTCTTGGTGTGGGTGTCTGGCTAGCCCTGAGGCCTCTCCTGCCTCAGCCTCCCAAGTGCTGGGACGATGGGACAGCCGGGTGCCTCTGTCCCCTTAGTGCTCCACTTTCTGCTCCCACAGGGGAAGAAGCCCACAGCCCGCGGCTCGCCATCCCGCTCAGCTTAGTGGTCTCACTCTTTGTCTGCTTCATGATGTACTCTGGCCTCTCGGCGGCCCTCACCCTCTTGACACCCTATTATCTGATCCGGCCCGAGCGTGCCCTCTTCGAGGCCTTCATCCACGTGGGATGGACCCCTTTCAGCTATGTGGTGGCTGTGGGCACCCTGTGTGCCCTCTCCTCCAGGTGGGTGACCAGATGACCCTGCCTTTCTCCGCCCTCCTGGGCGTGGGGCTGAGGCACGGGTGGTGGTGGTGGTGGTGGTGGTGGTGGTGGTGGTGGTGATGGTGGTGGTGGTAGTGATGGCTTAGCCCAGGCTCCTCCGTGGCTCTCACATGCTTCCCCCACTTCTGCAGCCTCTTGGGTGCCATGCTCTCCATGCCTCGGGTCATTTTTGCCATGGCGGAGGATGGGCTCCTCTTCAGGGGCCTGGCCTGGGTCCATGCTGGCACGAACATCCCCGTGTTGGCCACTGTGGTGTCCGGGGTCATCGCAGGTGAGGACCTGCCAGGCTCCTGCCCCACTTCCTGCGCGTGGGGGTGGTCAGGAGCTGAGTCCTCTCTGCTCCCACTGTGTCCTCCCTGCAGCGTGCATGGCCTTCCTGTTCGAGCTCAGAGACCTTGTGGACCTCACATGCATCGGGACCCTGGTGGCCTGCTCCCTAGTAGCCTTTTCTGTGCTTGTCCTCAGGTGAGATCCACTCCGGGAAGCTAGCAGTGCTGGGTGTGTCCCTGGCCATGGTTACCACCGCCTTGTCTCCTAGGTTCCAGCCGGACGAGGACTCGGGTTCCAGCAAGGAGAACACCAGGGTGGAATCACAGGAGACTCAGGCTGAGTGTGATGTGATCTCTGCGGACCCTGCACCGCAGACAGGGTGCTTGAGGCTCGGCTGGGCCCTCTGTGTCCCTGGGAATGCCACCCCGTCTGCAGGGTCTGGCCGGCTGGTGTACTTGTGCGCCATGGTGCTCGGTGAGCCTGGGCGTGGTGAGGGAGGTGGGGGTAAGGACCCCGACATCCCGCCCCGGGCAGCTGTTTCTTGTAGGCCTCCCTGGCTTTATGGTCAGCACCTCTGCCCTGCTTGTTCCCTCTCCCCGCCCACTGCTCCTTGGAGGCCTGCGTCAGCAGGTCCTGGCGCCCCCTTGTGAGCTCCTCGGCTGTGCCAAAAGCCCTACTTTCTAACCAACGAGGTGGTCTCCATGTCCACTCACTTCTGTCCTCTCCCTCCAAGTCCTGCTGCTGATCGGCCTGGGCCTGGTGCTGGCCTGGTGGCCCGACCGCCTGTTCTCAGGAGACCTGGCGTGCGTGGTGGGGGTCTCCCTGCTGCTGCTGCTGACCTCAGGGGCCCTGGGTGTCATCTGGCGACAGCCCCAGAACCCTGCCCCGCTGCACTTCAAGGTGAGCGGGTGAGCCCGGGCCTGGCAGTCTCATGGAGGGGACACCCTGCCGATGCCCTGGCCCTCCTGGCTGGCCTCCTCCAGTGGGCTCCCCGAGACAAACCACACTGCTGTCCGCAGGTCCCCGGCGTGCCCCTGCTCCCGGCACTGAGCATCGTCATGAACGTCTGCCTGATGCTGCAGATGAGCCCGGCCACCTGGACCCGCCTGGCCGTCTGGATGCTCGTGGGTGAGTGGGGCGCTGAGGACGGGACTGGGGACCACAGGACCCCATGGGCAGCACCCTGGGGAGTGACAGGCTGTCTACTCACAGCTTCGCCTCCCTGCCAGGGCTCGCTATGTATTTTGGATATGGCATCTGGCACAGCTTGGAGGAGCAGGAGCAGGAACAGGAGCAGCAACAGGAGCAGCAACAGGAGCAGGAGCAGGAGCAGGAGCCCCAGCCTCCACCTGTGGCACCGCGGCCGCCACCTGTGGCACCCCGGCGCCTGCCCCAAGAAACCCAGTGCTGAGCTGACGGGTCACCAGCTGGGAATGCCCACCTATATTCCTTTGCTAGGGAGGGAGCAGCTTCATGATAGCGCTTCAATAAAAGCTTTTAATGGGTGAAAGTTGTCTGTGGTGTGTGATACTGGGCTCTGATACGTGTGGGTTGTGGATCAGCTGAAATCCAGACGGAGGACCCTGGCCCGTGGAAGCCTGCGTCTGCCCCTCTGAGCAACTTTCCAGGGCGCATCTTGTGCCTTGACAGGTTGCATTCTGTTTGCTAATATGGTCTGGAGTTCGCCATTTATTACACACATAAAGGAGACCGGCCTGTAGTTTTGCTTTTTAAGTTTGGTCTTGGCTTTTGGAGTCATAGTGATGCTGGCTTTCAGAAATGAATTTAGAATCGCTCTTTCCATTTCAATCTCGTTAAAAACCTCCAGGAATCTTGGTGTTGAGGCTTCCCTGAAGTTTTTGTAGAATTCAGCAGTGAACCTGTCTAGACTTGGGCTTTTCTTAGTTGGTAGGTTATTTACTGCTGCTTGAATTTCACTGCCTGTTATTGGCTTATTCAGGATTTTAAAATTTTCTTGGTTTGCCAGGCATGGTGATGCATGCCTATAATTCCAGCATGTGGGAGGCTGAGGCAGGAGGCATCACTGCAAGTTCAAGACCAGCCAGAGCTACAAAGTGAGCTCAAGGTCAGCCTTGAATTCCATAGCAAGACCCTTTCTCAAAAAAGACAAAAACAAACACAAAACAAAAACCCAAACCAAAAATCAAACTAAAATTTTCTTGGTTCAATTTTGGTAATGCATGTATCTGCTAATCTACCTATTTCTTCTGAATTCTTCAGTTTGTTACTGTACAGGTTCACATCACAAAGTAGTTGCTAATACTATTTTTTATTCCAGCAGTGTCCATAGCAGATTTCATCTTCTTGATTCCTAATTGCAGTGTTCTGTTTTTGGTTAGACCGGCTAACCAAATTAAAAAAAGAAAAAAAAAACAAAAACACTTTTAGATTTAATGGTTCTTTGTAGTTTTTATGGTTTAGTTTTCCTTGATTTCTGCTCTGAGTTTTAGAATTTCCTTCTCGGTATTAGCTTTGAGCTTGGGTTATTCTTGTTTCTCTAGGACTGTGGGGTCATTAGGTTGTTTGGGCTTGCTCTGTTTTTGCAGGCATTTATAGCTATTGTATTCTATGAGTTCTAGTTTGTGGTACTGGTACTATCATTTTATTCTACAAAGTGTCTTATTTCTTCCATGGTTTTTTTCTGTACCCCACTGTTTAGTTAAGAATGTACTGTTTAGTTTACATGCATTTGTATATTTTCTGTGTTTCCTTTTGTAGTTCATTTCTAACTCACAGAGCTATGGATGGGCAATAAACATGGTATAGTTTCAATTCTTTGACTTTAGGCTGATTTACTGCCTGGCAGGTAATCTGTTCTGTAGAAAGGTCTATGTGCTGCTGATAAGAATGTATTTTGCTGCTGCTGGCTGAACACTGTAGACATCTGTTAGTCATTTGTTTGAAGGTTTTATTTCTTTGATTTTGTTTATCTAGTTAATCTGTTATTGGGGTATTAAGGTTCATTATAATTATATGATCTCTTAGGTCCAGTAGTATTGGTTTTATGAAGTTGGGGGCTCTGTTTGGCAGATATGTTAATAACTGCCATCTCTTCTGGTGGATTTCCCCCCTAACCAATATATAGGGCCTTCTTTGCTTCTTTTGATCAGTATTGGCTTGAAATCGGAGTGTAAGGTAGTTACATCTCTTTTTTGGGTTGCTATTGCATGGAATAGTTTTTCCACCCTTTGAATTTTAATTTTTTTCTTGAGACAAGGTGTGCTATGTAGTTCACACTGGCCTTGATCTCACTGTATAACCTGGCTGACCTTGAACTTGCAACAATCCTCTTGCCTCAGCCTCCTGAGTGCTCAGATTACAGGCATGTACTACCATATCTAACTATCCTTTGATTTTTAGTCTGTGAGTTTCGGATTCTATTTCTTTGTCCATTGTGCCAGTCGGTCTTTTGACTGAAGATTTGAGACCATTCACATTAAGTTATTGATGATAGGTACTGACTTGTTCCTGTCATTACCTTATTTTCCTGTTGCAGATTCCCTATCTTTCCCTTCTACCTAACTGCTTCCCTGATGTGGTGTATTTAGAGTTTTTTTTTTTTTTTTTTAAACTGGTACCAGGGATCAAACTCCCCACTTGCAAGGCAGGCGCTTATGCTGCTGAGCTAAATCTCCAGCCCTGTATTTACTTTATTAGACCTCATGTCATTGTTAGTTTCATTGTCACTTGCTAGGGCATCCTTAAGAATCTTTTGGAGTGCAGAATTGTGGTCATGAATCTCTCTAGGTGGTGTTGATCAAGAAAGTACTTTATTCCTCCATCAATTTTGAAATATAGTTTTGCAGGATACATCAGCCTGGGTTCGAAATTGTTCTCTTTTAGTGTTTTAAACACTTCAGTCCAATATCTGATAAGGTTTGTATTGAGAAGTCGGCTGGACTTCTAGTGAAATATAATAGATTTTCTTGTATAGGTGGTTTCTCACTTTTTTTTTTTCTAATCCCTTTTAAGATTCTGAGGTTGTCCTGGATGTCAGGGATTTTCACTGTGATGTGTTTTCTGATGGTGGCTGTGTGGAGTTTTGTGCATCTCACTTGCGTGTATGTCAAACTCTTCTACCCTATTTGGAAAGCTTTTGATTATTACTTCAGTAAAAAGGTTTTCCATGCCACCTGTGCTGTCTTCTGATTTGTCCTTGATTCTAGTTAACTTTTGTCTCTGCATTAGCCAGGATCTGCTGGATCCATCCTTCACGTTCTTTTGCTGGTCACCACCACCAACCCTGTCTTCAGGCTCTGAGATTGCTCTCATGTGGGGCATGTCTGTTGGTCATATTTTCAATAGAACTTTAAATCTCACTTTCTCTTTTGAGCCCTCTTATGGACCCTAATTCTTTTTTACATGTCAGTCATGTTTATTTTTCATCATTTTGTTTAGCTTTTCTTTATATTAGTGGTTTTTTTTTTTTTTTTGGATCTTTTTCGTTTTTATCGGTACCAGGGATCGAACTCACGACTGCCTGCTTGCAAGGCAGGCATTTATGCTGCTGAGCTAAATCCCCAGCCTCTATTAGTGTGTTTTTAAAAAATTATTTTTTTGTCATTTTGAGACAGGGTCTTGCTGTGTAGTTCAGGCTGGCCTTGAGCTCACTTTGTAGTGCAGGCTGGTCTTGAACTTGCAGTGATACTGATACTTCAGCCTCCCGAGTGCTGGGATTATGTAGGTGTGTGTCACCACACCCAGCTATAATTTTTTATTTTAAAGAATAAAAACAAGCAAAATAAAACAGAATAAAGCCAATCAAAACAAAACAGTGTGGGCTGGAGATTTAGCTCAGTAGTATAAACTCCTGCCTGGAAAGTGGAAGGATATGAGTTTGATCCCTGGTAACCAAACCGAACCGAACTGAACCGAACCAAACCAAACCAAACCAAACCAAACCAAACCATTGTAACTGACACAGGGCTCAAAAAAAGGTAATAGGAAGTCAACAATGGTTACTGTAATGTCTCTTTTTGTCTTCAAAATAGCTGCACATACCTTCAGACAAAACAGAACAAAACCAATAAAAACAAAATAATGAATGCAATACAGGACTTCAAGATAATAGTTAATCCAAAATAGCTACCATAATATATCTTGTTATCCTAGCAATAGATGCACATGCTATTAGATATAAGAAAATCAAAACAATAAAACCAAAGCAAACCAAAGCAAACCAAACAATGAAAACAATACAGGGCTTTAAAACAAGATAACAGGGGATGGGGATTTAGCTCATAGCATAAGCACCTGTCTTGAAAGGAGGCGGTCGTGAGTTCGATCCCCGGTACCGATAAAAAAAAATAAAACAAGATAACAGGGAAATAACAGTAGCTACCACCTTCTGAAGATGCCCCATAGATATTACACTACAAATTGTTATCCTCTGAATAGATGGCTTTAGGCCTGCAAAGTCAGTGAAATACTAAACAGTACAATCATCAAGTGTATCTTACTCAACAGCTATCATCTTAACTTACAGTGTGCAGCGGGATGGGGGTGGGACCTTGGCGCCCAGCCCACATGTTGGGAGGGGCCAGCATCTGGCTGTCCCCTCCATGGTCCCTGTATGGTGCCAAATCACTGTTAGTGTCTTTCTGTTGTCATTGTTTTGGGCTGTTTTTGAGACAGGGTCTTGGTGTGTAGTTTAGGCTCATTACGTAGCCTAGGGTGGCCTTGAATTCAGTGATCCTCCTGCTTGAGCCTCCTGAGGGCTGGGATTACAGATGTGTACAATCATGTCCAGCTATTAGTGTCTTCTTTGGACTCACTGATGATTTTGTTTAACTGGCTGAATATTTTGATATAAAATTATCAGGTATAATTTATATATAAAATTATATATTGTGAGCCTGCCAAATGCCTTACTGAACTGTTGGCTCAGTGTCACAGAAGGGGGAATGTGGATGGTTACCAGGGTCTGAGGCCACCTCCAGGGAGAAACCTCACTTTGAAACCTGGGTCTCTCACCCACCCCATAAACACTCCCCTAGAGCCCAAACCCTGAGTCAGACACCGAGGGCGGCCTGACTCAGGGACTTGAGGGCCCTTGGCTGAGGTGCAGCCCTGAGCCTGAGGTAAGTGTGAGCCGTGCTGCGCTCCAGGCCAGTATTCTAGGCTGACAACCGCATGGCATCCTACCTTCACTGTGGGGCTGAGGGTCGTTCAAAGTGGTGTCCTCGCGTCTGGTGCTGATCTCCCCATAGACTCGGCTCTTCCCAGTGTCTTGAAGGCTGCCCCGTGAGTAAGCTCGCAGGCTCAAGCCTACCTCCTACACTCTGCCTTTCTTCAGTCTCCAGCACATGCTTCCAGCCCCTGCCTGCCCGTGTCTCAGATCCCTCCTCTGGGTGCTAGGCTTTCCTATGGCACTTCTTCATTTTTTTTTTTTTTTGGTACTAGGATACCCCAGGCCTTCACACTGAGCAATGCCTTCAGCCAAATGAAAGGTTTTTTTGTTTTTTTTTAGACAGGGTCTCA